CACAGCAACATCGCTCACCTGTTCGCCGGCCTGACTGAAGCGGAGAGCGCAGTGGTGATCGAGCTCTCAGCATCCTTTGGGTCGACAGGGTCCCCGGGGATCTATGCAATTTGTTTTGCGGGGGGATTTCCTATGTTCATGGGTGTCGCTACGCAATGGTAGTCATTCCGGGTGCGAATGCCATAAGCACCGAGCCGTTTACCGAATGGAACGCGTGGCAGCGGGCTCTTGGGCTCGAGCTCGACTCCGTCGATGCATTAGTGACGCTTCCCTCTTCCAAGATCCAAAAGGCTCGGAAGATTGTCACCTCTGCCTACTGCTCGACTTCGCTGACTAGAAAATGATATGGATCCATCATGGGAACCTTACGTCACGCAGCTCCCCCCGCCGGCTTTTTCAATGAGTTGACGACCTCATCAACGTAGTTGTTGACATCGATACTACACGCAGCGACATGGACCACTCGCTCCCGCATTCGAGCAGCAAGACCGTTTCTGCAACGACTCCGACAGCGTAAGCCCCAGCGCCACACTTTCCAGAGCCTCGGTGCGGCATACGCGATGCAAGAGAACTCACTGTGGTAGTGGCACATTCTGCGCAACCCCCAGCTGAGCGTTGTATCCCTGGAATACTTTAACACTCTTCCTCCGCCAGCTATTGTGGTAGAAATGAATGCATTGGATTCCGGGCTATGCGCGCTCGACGTGCTCGCAAAGTCGGCGCTGCCTTACGTATTCACTGCATTCGAGCGCGAGCTGGTTGCGGGGTATAATAATGGATCCGCCAACGGGTTCGCCATCAACTTCCACGAGCTCGTATCGTGTGCGTTTGCAGTACACGCATGGGGAGACGCTGGGCTTCGGACGAACAGCCCTATCGGCGGCAGGACGAGACAAGTGTATTTCCGTATCAACAATCTAGCTGCTGTCGCATGGCAAAAAAGCTGACCTCACGCAATCTTCGGGGACAAGTTCTCTTTCGCCTGCTCAGCTGGTGAAAAGCGACATACTGGCTTCGCTTCTCAGTATCCTATATCACCGGAGCCGACAATACCCGCGCCGACACCGGCTCCCGTACCACCGCTAAGCTAACCCCTGTCTGATCACAGGTGTCCTTGACGGTGGATATCTAGGGCATATTGAGAATTTGGCATCATATCTCCGCGAGCACTCCGTTGCCGACTCCACGTTTGACCAATACTGCCGTACCCTGAGTAATCGGAGCGGCTGGGTTACACTCAGAGGGATTTATCCCTGGCTCTATGATGTCCCACTCCCTAGAAAAAGGCAGTAAATCTCGGACTTCGTCCTACATGGCTTCCAATATGACTTCAGGTAAGGTGGCCCCATCCGAAGCGATTCCATCCCAATGCTTCATGACGCTCGCCATTTCTTCGCCGCAGCTGGCTTTGAGGTTGCAATCGAACCGTCGCACGTCCGCGTGGAGCTCAAGCGAATCAGCTGTCTCGACACGCAACGGCATTGCAAGGCACTCGTCTCACTTGATCTCTTGGAAGCTTTCTTTCGAGGCTTGTGGATGGTTCATCCCAGCGACCAAGTTGTGTGTGTGTGTGCTTGACGTGCTTCTTTCTACTAAGACATTCGGAGGTCGCAGCCGTCCAGTACGGGTCCTTCATGTGGTTTGCGCTACGAGCTCAAGACATTGTTGTCATGGAGCTCCAACAACAAGAATGCTTTCTCGCTCTGAATATCAATTTCTCTGCCCATCTTTGGGACTCTCATCCTTCTTCAAGCCAGAAAGGGCTTTCCTTATCAGCATTCCGGCCGCTGTGTACATGTCGCGCTGTAGGGGGCCAGCATGTATATCGGCCGAAGACTTGTCCAGAGCCACCAAGCGCCCTGCAACTTGAACCGGCAAAAACCACTCGGGTTCAGCTCGCATTATCTTCGCGTTGGAGGTATCACACACATATATGCTTCTGGAGCGGATGCACTTACAACCCAGCTCCACGACCGCTGGGTTTCTGGCGCATACAAGACCTACACCAAGCTCTGCAAGGAGGCTGTCACCGTGCTGTTGGTGAACATGGTGGCAGATCCAACGGGGGATACGATACTACATTAGTGGGGCAGACCACATGGCCATTATTAGAGGAGCAGCTCACTTCGTCTTTTTTTCGGTTTGAGCTGATGGTCATCGCATAAGCTATCACTAATGTATTTGCTCGTTTGACCCCAAAGGATTGTAGAATGGATATTGGTTCCAGATTATTTAGGCATCTGCTGTTCTTATGCTCGATACACTTGGCATCTCGGGCGTTCAGCTTTCGCGGACGACTGCTTTACACAGGGCTTCATATCACCGGCCTTTTTCAGGGTATCTGTGACCCTGATACTGAGTGTAATCTTGCCAGACTGAAGATCTCCTGGAATTGACACTAGATCATGGCGATATTAGTATCATATCAGATAAAATGAAACTGTAATCGGATATTAATATGTAATTATTGAGCTGCGCTTGCGCTGCTTGGTTACCTCGATCTTACGTGTAAATAGTAAGTGTTCGGTACTCCGACCAATTGGGCTTTATAAAACATAACAGTTTTCCGCCTGGTCTTCGTCAAAACCGGTCCGCAGTTCGTTTACTATGTAGCTGCTGATACTGAAAAAGCGCTCCTGCTGAGAGAGGCTTTCCTAGTAGATTTTAGCTAAGATATCTATTCCAGGAAACGAGCTCTCGTTCGTCTTGTACACGCCAGCATGTCGGCATCGTGATAGGGTTGCAGCACGGAATGCTTACCAGGCGATTGTTTTTGGCAAGGCCAGTTTACATGCAAATTTCGCCACTGAGAGAGAAATGGAAACTGCGAAAATTCGTACAGTCAAAAGCTAGAAATGACGATTTACAATGTTCAGACCCGTCTGTTGGTTTTACGGTGAATCACGGCAAACCGAAATATTTGGTTTTGCGTATATCTGATATTGTGTCATCAGTGAATACTCTGTTTGGAGTAAGGGATCTGTGATCCTGATGTTACTGACTACGCTGTATCATCGAATATTGATATCAGGTATCATCGAATACGGTATTCAAACATTGATCTGGTATCTCTGGTTGATATTAAGCCCTGGCTCTACATCTTTTTCTTGGGTTACCATTGAGGGCCCAACGCCTTCTTAACATTCGCCGAGCCTCTTCGCGACGCACTTCTGTGGATCAGGTGGCGAGGCCTTTTCTTCCTAGAACTCGATAGCTTTTCGGCCGTTCTCGCAGGCTAGCCTGATGCAGATTCAGCTGGAGCAGGTCAGTCTTCACCTTGCAGTGCTTGCACGCAGGCCCCACCATGTTACAATTGTGGGCATTTAAAAACAGCGATTGGGTAGTTTTTTCGAGGCTAGGTGCGTTCGTGTTCTTGCCCTAGAGCACATTATGCGGTTTTTTTTTAAATCATGTCATTCAGAACATGAAACAAATCAAGAGCATTGTCTATGAACAGCCCACCCACTTGAATTTAGCCAATTATATCTATTTTTAACACGTCATAAATGCTAGCACAGAACTTATTCCTCCACCTGAACAAGGGCGTACCCTGCCATTCATAATAGCAAATATATCTAGATGGTACTCGAGACCGTCCCTTTTGATATTTTCTGCAAGTGGCGCCAACTTACCGCAAAACAACCCTCGACTGTGCGGTCGCTCTAAAATCTATCACGACTCGAAAGGGATGATCGTATCCCCGAGTGCCTCAAGCAGCCCGCCACTGCCATTCGCATATTCGAGAGTGCATGCACTCACCGGGGGTACGCCACAGAGCACCGCTAATGAAAACTAGAGCACTCCCAAAATGGCGACCCATCTCAACTGGTTTCCGGCGTTCTTTTGAGTTTGGGGACCTAACATCTGCCAGCAACCCTTGAGGGAACGCCTCAAAGGAAACTGTCTGTGGTTTTCGCTCACGTACAATTCCGCTTTATTTGCTTTAGCTTTCCACATACATAGTAGCTAAAGTCTTGCTACTCGGTGGACCAGAGTTCCATAATGACTTATCCCCAGATTGGACCCGGTTAAGAATCGGCGTCGATTTGTGTAGCCAAGCTGACGACGGTGTGCGCGTCTGGCGATCGATGTACTCCTTTTGGAGGTAACTAAAATTGACCCTTCAAAGCTGCTAACTGCACCCGAAACAGCTGCGTGCTCGCTGGGACCAAACGGAGGCTGTCCATGAGCACCGTCACCTCTTCGTGTTCACGAATTGGGTTGCCCACTAGGGATGCCGTAAGCTTCGGCATCGATTGAATGTACTCATGCAGCTCAGCAGGAGATGAAACGAAGTCGCGGTGGTACGCATAGTTCGCCGTGCAGAACTAGCATGTAGCTGTCTACACAGCTAAACCCAGGATGTAAAGCATCAGAACGTCGTCATCTCCCGTGTGTGTACCCATCTCTTAGTAAGGTTAAACATCCCAAAAACAACTCGGAGTTGATCAGTCGAGCCAAGAGTCGCGGCCATAGCAAGCCCCACCTCTTAAACATAGAAGAGAATGCTCACCTTCCCCCCTTCAACGATTTAACCTTTAGTCACAGCGGATTTTTGTGAAGCGGGTCTACTTTCGCCACCAAAGCCTGCAGGTTTTTCTCGCATGTGGACGATGAGCCCTATCTGGTAGGTGTCGGACGCGTTGGCACACGCGACCTGTTTGGCTAGCGTTGACGCCACCAGGCTCCACAAGGGCTCTGTTTTGAATGTGTCTGCTATTTTCCGAACCGACTTAAACTGAGAGTCGTTCAGGTGAGCAAATCGTTCTGGTGAGCGGATTGCAGAACTTCAGAGGCTAACCCCAACAAATTTTGTCCTTAATAAGAGGACCAAATCGTTTTTGGAGCGCACAAAGTCACGTCACCTTTGTCCTTAACCCCATTTTTTAAGGACAAAAAAGAATGATGGTCACTCCGCTAGCGTGCGTCGCCCGCATTCCGCATTCCGCATTCCCGCAGCGCTCGTCGCGCTGCACGTTTACACAAGCACCCAAGGCATCATGTCTGACAGCGAGTCGTCTGAAGAGGCTCCGTACGTCTTTGGATCCGACAGCGAAGACGAAGAGGAGGTCCTGGGATCCTGGAAGTATCCCAACGTGATAAACCAGCGCATTCAAGTAGACAATGTCGATGCGTTTTTGCTGGATAAGACACGTGAAGAAGCTGGCCAGGTCGCTAAAAGAATATTGCAGCGAATGTTCGGTACTACACAGCATCACCTCGACGGTGTTAGCGTTTCCAGTTTCCTGTTCGTGTGGCTGGATTCGACTGTGCTGGCAAGGCTCCTGATCTTTGTGAACAGGAGCCTGGCTGATTATGCAGCAGCATCTACAGATGACATCTACAAGTTTCTTGAGGTCGAGCTGTGGCTAAGTGTTTATGGTGTAACCCCGGACTTCTTCTACGACGAGAGCAATAGGGCTTTGTATCCACCTGCTGAAGAGGCACTACCACTGCCCAGATATCGCGCTATTTTGGCAGCTTTAAGTGGCAATCCGTTTACAAAAGAAGGAGGATCCGACCAATGGACGGCACCGCTCACACCTGACAGAGACATCTCTTATGCATACGAACTCGCACGGCGACTATCCGCAGACATTAATTTTGTGGATGGAACAACGATAGCATCATTAGATGATGATTTGATCCGCTTGCGCTCAAAGGCAGTGGACGATATTGGCCTTACGCACGTGCGCAACCCGAAAAAGGGTACTGTACTTAATGATCGTGTTATGCTGTGAGGTAATTGATCTTACCAAGCGAATGTTTGGCAGATACGGCCCAGTGCAGCATGGCGTGGTATCGCTGGTTACAGGCTTGTTTTTGGGTGGACATGTGGCTGCCAACGGCGAATCAACCGTGGACATTGTGAGGATTCTTCAGAGATCACTCTGTGGATCATCGACGGAGAACCAAATTCGACTACCAGGTATTCTTCACGCGCTGGACAGAGGTTATCAGTCTCATGCTGTCAACCAACAAATTGTTGACACTGGTGGAAGTATCATCGGTACCCATAAGCGCACACAAAAGTTTCCCTTTACATTTGGCAAAACACCAAGTCAGTACCAAAAATTAGTATTAGAGAAAGAAGATCGTGCTGCGTATTGGGCCACCAAACGTATACCAGTTCAACCAGGGATGCTTCCTGCAAATGCACACGCACTTGCATACCGGTCAGGGCTTGGAAAAGTGGCATTAGGCTACACAACGTTTGCCAGCGCGGGACCTGATAACTGGTCTTATGTATCACGGACACTGAAGCGAGTCTCACTTCGTAGGGAGGAGTTGCTTACAGCTTTTGAAGACGGTATTCAGAAATTGACGATGGAGCAAAGAACTACAGATTGGTTTTTACTCAGGAAGTTTCGCATTACGGGCTCGGTTGCTTCAAAAATATTTAGCGCCATTGCTCACAGTTACGGTGATGGTAACCGAGGTGATCCAGTCGATGATCCTGATGTTCAGGCAGTGATACTGCAACTGTCATTGGGAAGTAATCGCCAACAGCCGGGTCCCTCCCAGACCAGAAGCAGTGAAAACGCAGGAGCACCGCTGCTTGAGGCAGAGCTAATCGTGAAAACGCTGGGAGATCTAAAAACCTTATGCCGTGACCTGGGACTTCGTGTATCTGGAAACAAAGCAACGTTTATTGCTCGACTTCTTCAAAATGATGCTGGGGAGGCTCTTCCTGGTCGCAATATTCGGCGAGATTCTAGATATGCAGTTGACTCAGCCCTTTTAGGAAGACTTGGTTCATGGCGCCGTTTTCAACACCATCTACAAAGATTGGGACCGCCAACGAAGTCAATATTGCCTCGCACATCACGCTATTTCTGGATATACACACACACTATCATATCGAGGAGCTCAGAGAATACGGTTTACTGTGCAGGTAAGTGAAGCAAAACAAGAAACTAATTTTTTCTCTAGGAGCAATATGCCAGTAGCTGCTTTCTCACCGGATCATATTGCTGCCTCCGTGTCTGTGCAATGTGGGAGATTCAATGCAGTAATGGAGTACAAAACTCGAGCTACTGCTCGCACAGTTCAGCAGGAACAAGCTGCTGCTAAAGCTTATGGTATATTCACAACAGTAGAATTGACTGGTATGGGATCCGGCTTCCGATTGAACGCAGTGATTCCCGAGTCCAGTCACCGCCTCCAGATACTGCACAGCATTGCTTGCAGTGGGATCACACATGAATACCTTGTGTATGCATCCTCTACATACATCATTCGAGTTGTTCACGTTGTCGTGAGCGAGAGTGCATCTCACACTTACCAGAGTGCATTGAAGGCAATTGCGTTGGGCTACATGGAGTGTGTTTACACAGAAACCGCCAGCATTCCCGAGTTTGAAACTGAGCAATTAGGACACTGTGTTGATCAAGCCACGCTGGTACAAACCCTGGGGTTATGGAGGGCATTAGTGAAACTTATCAACGAGCGGCAAAACCCACTCCCTCCAGCCAAGCATATCATGCCAACTTTAATTGCGTTGTGGAATCGTGTCAAGGGGGGGATCGATGTCTATTCAAGATATCTGAAAAATGTCAAGTCCAAGCATTTCCGGCTGACACCTAGTGCAACAATTTGGCTTCGTCTGCTCATGACGCTAGTGTACAATGCCTACCAGTCGTTCTGTTATTCCAGGTAGCTAGCAGCTCACAATTCGCGCGCAGAATATGGGTTCTAACTGTGATTCTTGCAGTCACACGGTTTTTTGATGAATCGAGGACTATGTACAAGCTACAAGGCCTATCAGAAACACAAGCAAAATCTCCCCAGTTTTGCCGCATTTTGATGAGAAGCTGCCGTTGTGCTTTCAAAGAAGGCAGGCTCTCCGCGCCCACTTAGCGATGCTCGAGACAAGGAGAATCGGTCAGGTCCACCGACATTGGAACTTTCATTCGCGTACAACAAACGAAATCACTTCGAGTCATCCACAGAGTGGATTCATCTTCGGCTCTCTAAAAGTAATGATCACCATGAGGTACGGGACAATTGTCGCTTCATCTGCTCATAATAATGTATCCAATCAAACCGTTCAACTACAGGTCCGGATCCAGGGTGCACGTCAGAGATGCTGCATTATCTGCTGTCAAATGAATCACGACAGCGAAAATGGCAATCACACGCGTAAAGGGTACAAAACAAGCTTTGAGTGTGATATCTGCCATGTTTCACTTTGTCGCGCAGCAAGATGGAGTGACGGCGAGTCCTGTTTCGAAATTTTTCATCGTGAAAGGAAGATGCCAGACCCATGCAAGAGGTCACACCATCTCAAGTCAACCAAGTCAAACGAAAACAGAGCACCGCCTCCATCCAGAAAGCGATCCAGAGTATTGGATCCTCCAAATCGACGAGCACCAAGCGTTCGCTTAACGAACAGGCATCGCCGACGATCATTGCGCTTGCAGCCAGTAGTCAAGGTGACAAGCCGAGCAAACAGCAATTTGTCCTAAACTTTAGGACAAACTTCAGTGAAATCAGTCTTAGGAGTGCAAGATTTCAAGTAGCGTAGTGAAGCCGATTCGATTATCACTGAGTCAAGTTCGTGAAGGATAACGAAGAAGACATGACAAACATTTATCTTGTTCCTTGCATTTGACTATAAATCTGCAGGACACATCAATCAGGGCCACTGAAATTTGGTCCTCATTTTTGTCCTTAAAAAAATCTTGTTGGGGCTAAGGTAATTTACCCGCTCTGGCGTGAGTTGTACGCAAGCATTACGAGTGTAACAGGACGTCACTTAACATCTTTCGCTAGGGAAGCAGCGGCTTCCGAACGTTTACAAACTGAGCTGGCCGTACGACTGCTGTCGCTCTCGTCCCCAGCTCCCCGCTATTGACAGCGATCAAGCAAGCAAGGGAAGTAACTTAAACCTCCATAACGAAACAATCACATCGAACCCGATTAAGGTCGACGATCCTGCCTGGCCGCGGCCTGAATATTTCCACGCTTCCTAAACCCCCATCATCATATGTCTCGTCAAGACGGATCAACTCAAGACCACACTTTCTTACTCGATCACTAGAGGAATGTAACCAGCCCCCATAAGGTGAGCCCGCAGCAATCCCACAGCTATCGGAGCACCTCTCGGTTAGTCAGCCGTCTCGAGCACGGTGTGTGACACCAGCGCACAATGCAATTTTGCGACTGCTGCTCCACCAAAAATACTAAAAACATTGCAGGTGCTCTCAAATCAAGGATTCTTTAAAAATAACTGTGGGTGTGTGGGTGATGTTTCTCAATGGTTGGCCTCCGGCGTGCAGCAAAGACGTGGCAAGGATATATACACATTTCACGATTAAAAGAAGGAGAACAGACCTAACAGTCTTCTGACGATGAATCAGACTCAGGAGAACGTGAACCTAAGGAAACCAATAACAAATTTATTGAAACGTTAGAAGACGACGTGAATGAGAATGCGTCACATGACGTGTACGAGCTGGACAATGTGGCTGAATACACCGCCATATCTTTAACGAGAGTCACGGGTAAACGCCATACACGATCAGGCTCCGGGTATACAAAGACAGCCCTTCCAAGCGAAATTGTAGGGACCTCGTTGCGCTTGTTGAGTCAAGTATTCCGATGGTCTTGAAGGGCTTGATATGTATGCTGCATCGATAGCTAGTGCAATCGTAGTCGCGGAGACCTTTGCTCATGTGGAGCGGAAATTGTGGCATGATCTGAGGTTAGAATACCCCCAGTGTGAAGTTCATCGGCTCCATCACCGCTAGTCGTCTCATCAGGTGTAGCATCTTTGCGCACGGCCTCCCCACTGCCTTTATGGAAGACGCCACTTTCGACTTCCTTTGTATCGATCGCGGTTTTGTCGAGCTCGGTTTCACCATTTCCGGTTTCCGGTTCAGTAGAAATGCGCGGAGCTACATATACGTGATTGACTTCAGGCTCAGGCTTATAAGAGTATTCGCTTTCGTTTCCAATGGCTGTAGGTGGCTGCATCCGCGCTAGTACGATCTTCTTACTAAGTGTTCACAGTGGAGGATTTAGCCAAGCATCTAAGAGATCGAGTGGATATCTTCTTCACCGGGTATCTCCTCATCATTTGATTCGTTCATGTCTAACGATTCGCCTTATTGGACGGAGAAGTCGTAGTCGCTACATCCAGTGCTCGTGCGGCCAGATAAGTATCTTTTTTCCTTGACCGTCTTTTCAAATTCAGACTTTCTGTAGTGGTCTTGGAGCATCCCTAGCTAATTTAGCGTCTGCGTGCCTCCGACGTATACCTTGCCATGGTTCGGGAAAGACAACCCACAATACAACGCCCCGTCACGGTAGCCTCGAATGAACCCAACTCGGCGGCTTTCCGCAAACTTATGTGTTGCCGATTTAACATTCGTGTGATTGCTTTGCAGGTTGGTGAATGACCGGTTTTGAACGCCCCAGGTGGCTTCATCGGCGTACTTGAATACGAGCAATTCTTCACGTACACAGCGTGGTAGAGAGTGCCTACCCAGGCGCCCCGACTACTCATTACCGACCGCATCATATCCGGTGGGATCGCTCGACTATATTGAGTCGAGATGAACTTTGGGAGCTGTCAAGTGCTACTGGTGCCAAGTAAAAAGAGCTTAGCTAATGAAATCACCTTCTCCATTCGTGAATACATGCTGGGCTTTAAAAACCTGGATTCTGTCTCTTAGCCCAACAATAGAACCGCATATGAGTCCGTTTATCTCCCGAGCTGGCTTTGGATGCACCATATACCCGGTCAAATGTCTTGTGTGCGCATCCTTCACTACTACTATAATCGCTGTGTATCTCGTGCAACTATTGTAAGTATAGTAAAGACCAGATCTGCCAATAATAGCTTATTCTTCTGAGTCCCTCCGCGCACTAGGTGTGTGATGGCGGGCTTGGTGCGTTACTTGCGAAGATGGTACGCCTCACACATAATGATTGACGCTTCCTAATTATCTCCCCCTCCACGATACCTCAGTCAGCCATCTGCTTGCCAAACTGCGAGCAAAGGAGGCCATTACTCACTGTAAGTCAGCCCTATTATCGTGTACTGCGTAATTATTAATAACCATCGTGTCTGGCGTCCACGTTTCCTGATTTTGCTTCACCAAGAAATCGTTCGCTGCAGTAAACAGCCAGAGTCCACACGAGGGCATGCTGATCCTCAGTAGACCTTGCTGAGTGTGACGTCGATGCTGTCATCGTCAATTTCCGCCTTCAATCCCTGTATCTCACCACAGACTGCGAGAGCAGATTTAAGACTACGGCGTGCAAAATGATAATATTTACCATTTCGAGTTATCAAGATAATTGCCTTTAAAATAGACCGTTCATTTTTCGTTTTGAACTGACGTTTCAAGAAGCGGCCACTTTTGTGTTCTTAAAGTCCGAGCCATCACTAAACTGAAAGCCTAAATTTTGCAAAGGCGTTTAACATGGACGCGGATAGCTCAAGACCCCCCCCATCAAACAGTTGGGCACATGCCGCTGTACCCCACTGCAGACCTTCTCCGATGATTGGTTTGCCCGCCGAGATCGTGCCGCGGGGGTTACAGCGACCAGTTCGATCGGCCCGAACACCGCAGCAGATGTCGTACTACCTCACCACACCTGGTGGTCGCGGCAACACCGGACGACCCTGATGCGGACCCATCCTCGGCGGACGATGTAGCCGTTAGTAGCGCCGATGAGGACTGGAGTGAAGAGAAGTCTACGGAACATGAGGCGATGGTTACTGCATAGAGATAGATAGAAAAGAAGAAGAACATACATAACATCATATGAAGTATAATCGATTTAATAGAGGTGGACGCGAACACAAAGATTACAAACCTTATCTGTGCTAATTCGTGTGACCATCATTTTCGGAGAGGATGGCGAAGGAGATAGAGTCGTTCACCTGCTCTAATGTCAACGCCCGAGATAATGACTAGTTTCTACACGACGCTGGATTTGCTGATGCGGACCAACACTATGGTTTGTCGACGTGGCAAAGGCGAACGAGAAAAACTAACTACTCCCTGCCATCTGTCGGGGCGGTATGCCGCCCTTCGCTCGCACGCTGTCTAGACCGTACTCCCAATATTCTTAAACGATACCAAGCACGCGTCGTAGTCGGCAACATCACTGCGAAGGCTCATGGCAACACTCTAAACGCCAACGTAGTCGCTATCGATTGAAGTAGTCGCAACGCGTTTTTTAATAAAGGGATGCTTTCATTGGATCCGCATTATAGCTGTGCATCTTATTAGCTAAAAAAGAATTAAACTTTGGGGTTTGGATGGCAGTTATTATTTTTGATGAGCCGTACCTCCGGCGATTCTCACGCTTCAAAGCTGCGGAGAGTCTTAAACGATCGCTAAGTTACTACTTCTAACGAAGGCGTCATGTACATGGTGCTCCTCCGTGTTTCGTGTTCTTGCTTAACCACGTGCCTCGGCGCTAACTTAATTACAAACACTGCTTCCAGTGCCTTGAAGGTACGCTACGTATCGTGTTGGAAAAAGGGCACATTTTCTAAGGGTCGCACACTACGCGCGCAAATACAAAGGAATACGACATATTTTTTGCGACGGTGGAGTGGGGGTGTAGGGTGGGAGGCCACTATACACTTGAAAAGGTTTTAGTAGGTATTATTAGTAATAAAAGTGTTTTTTTTTATCTAACGCAGATATCATTTAACAATTATGAGTGATACAACTACAAAATATTGTTGGCATTTATTTAAATGAAATTTTCAAAGTATTAAGTAAACAATCTTGTAAGTAAACAAAGTCTACAAAGCTTAAAGCCTCATATTTTAACAGTAAGTACTAAGAGGACTATTCAAGACTCATCAGGGCCCACAATTTCTTTTTACATCTTGTGTACACGGTTTAGATAGGTAGCCCGCTTATATTTTCGGACGGAGGAAGTACAGTACAAATTGACAAGTACATGTACATTTGTCTGGCATTTTGAGTGTACGGTGATGTGCGTCAATAACGAGCGCATGAAAACTAACATATTTGTAAAACAATACCGAGAGGGATTCGGAGTTTCCTGTAAGGCATCTCAAACATTATAATATGAGCTATCGCCCGAAAATGATGACACGTAACACTAGGAGGCAGGCAAGAGTCTACCGTAACCTTTGACAATCGTCGCTCACTTGTTGAACGTCTAACGATCGATGCCACGCCAACTTGCTGATCGTATAAAGAGGAGTGAGAGTGCTTTATGTTTTAGCACAATAGTAAAGCCAGTAACCTACGCATGCTCTTAGCCTGGTTAGCCCTCGTGAGCCACTCGCTGGAGCTGGGTAGAGCAGCTTGCCGGTGCTTGAAATTAATTCTTATGAGTGAGTCTCTCTTCGCCCTCCCAGTAAACTCGGAGGGAATGACGATGTCTGCTTGTATTTCAGTGTAGAACGGAATTCGTTGTATTGAAACTGAAAAGTGGCAACGGCAAGCAGATCACGTTTATAATAAAAATCGTTTTCATCATATCGACTTCTAAAGAACATGCTGTGCATGTAATCCCTCGCGGTATGAGCTTAAACGATGGTGTGCAGAACAAGTTGGCAAGTGCTTTTTTTAATAGAACTTTGAACATATTAAGCCCTCTATCCTCTATTCGTACCAGAGGTTCTTTATTACTGTAAAGCCAATGATGAAGCAGCCGCACTGCACACAGTAGTGTAAATCCAAAGCTTCTCCGTGTGAAACACTGCCTTTTTTTTCAAGCAAATAAAGTAAAACTGAGCTTACAGGACATATCGTATGTGCGACAACATCATAACAACATCTCACAATTTGATATGTATATTATAGTAAATAAGGACTTATTTAAAGCATCAATAGTGATCCAAGGAAACGTACAGGTAGGCGACGGAAGCCAAATATGTATATTGCAGCAACGCATCTCCTGCGAAGCATCTGCTTGTGTCGCTACTCAAAAGCATTGTCACACCAATGCTCATTCTACAACAAAGAAAGAAGAAACTGCTGCTTACCATGCACGATGCGTTAGTCATCGGAGCGGGTGGTCGCTGCTTTTGTTGTCCAGGGAACATGACGATGATGATGAAGGTGGCCTTCTATTTTAGTTTCTATTTCAAGTAATCGGTGCCTAAAAGAGATGGCGATGCTGGGCTAAAGCGCTCTCGGCTGTCTGCGAGCCGAGACTACTTGGAGCGTATCTTCAGGTAAAGGCTAATACGACGCAGAAGGGCAGGTGCAAGCTGAGAGAGAATAGAAATCTTCTAGTCAAGTATATCAATCATCTGATAAGGTGGTCTGTCTAACGCAATATTACTACTAGAATTCTCGGTCTAACTCTTGACAAAATCTACAATTTTCTAAAGCCACTGCCCAAGCAAAACATCTGTATTTTCACCAGTGATACAGTAAATGCTCTTACTTCCGGTATCGTGGTCCGACCATATCCTAGGATTTGATATATTTAATAAAGGTAACACTACAAATTCAACTGAGAAGCAAGGAAAATAATATCCTCCATATCTACATATGATCCGTAGCTTGTGAGATCGGTATCTTTGCTTCGTTCATCTACGGCATTAAAGATAATACCTGTGTGGCGAAAGCAGCTCTCAATGGTACGCTTACCTTGCAATTCATTCCAGATTTCATTGCTCCATTGCATTGCCTCCACAGCGTACGCCGTACTATCAACCTCAGCGCCGTCCTTAATCTTGTCGTATACCCACCTGAGCTGCTTTCTTCTGTACGCCATTTTAAAGGATGCGATGATTCCAGCGTCCATAGGTTGTAGGAACGCAGTAGTGTTGGGGGGAAGAAACTCCACTCGAATGTTAGTGCACACAAAATTCCCCAGTTTGTGTGAAGAGGCATTGTCGAGAAGCAAGAGGATATGACGCCCACACCCTCGCATATCCCTGGATAAATTGAGTAGCCACTCCCTGAAGATGACGCCTGTCATCTACGCCTTCTTATTAGAACGGTAGCTAAAGCCGAGTTCCTCCGCCGTGCGTTTCTTAAAACAGTGAGAATTCTTTGCGTGCCTTAGATAAAGCACCGGCAGCTTGTCAGTCCCGTCTGCGTTTACAGTTAGTGCGAGGGTGGTTCTTGTCTTCTTTTTCTTGGCGCCGCGGGCTCCCTTAGTACAAATTGAGCGGGCCGGAGCCATGGCCTAACAAAGCCCCGTCTCATCCATGTTGTAGATATCCTAGGTTCGTACAGGTCAGTAATCTCCTGAAGTCGCTGGCGGCCTAGGGCAACCGCTACAGAATCTGCAGATCGAGCATCACCAGGTACCTTTCGACTCTTTAGTCGGTGCCTCCGTTCAAAAGCGGTGAACCGCCCATCCGAAAAGGTCAGGTCCCACGCATCACACAAGTCTTTCTGAATATCACGAGCTCATATTAATCAACTCGCGAGAAAGACACACACCCATAGCTTCAACCTTCATAATCCAGTCCAGTAGCAATTTCTTCAGCGCAGGCGACGTCACGTGTCGTGGCTTACGCCTCTTGCCATTGCCGTAGCTCTCGCTCATAATCTTGGTTGCGTTTTTCAGGATGTCGAAGACTGTAGTTTGTGGCGGTACTCGATTTAGCTTGTACTCTGCCTTTGCCCACGTACCCAGCTCTTCTTTCGTCATGCTGGATAAAAACAGCTGCCTTATGGATAAGCCCACGCTTCTGCTGTATCTTCATCCATCTCCCCATGACTAGATGCGCTGCTCGTTGCGGGTTCTGTTGTGTGAAGTGCGAGTTTTGCGTGAAGCGAGCAGATTAAGTGACTGGCGCCGAGAGACCCCTATCAGAGGCCCAATCAATTTTCCCTCTTTAAATGATTACATCGAAAATTTTAGGGGATTGATTTATACCAGTACCGGAATAGGGAGCATATACCGTAGCAGGCATAATAGCAGCTTCTATTCATACAATATTATTTATTAAAAAATATTGTATTGGGAAGTCTGCCGCTAGACTCCACAACGTAGGGCTCTTGACTCCACAATGAAGATTAAGGCCCAACTTTACCCCACGCGAAGCGCAGCGAGAATGCCTGCGGATCGTATACCATGTGCAGAGCACGCGGGTGCAAACTCAGGACCGATAATGGCCATCACTATCAAGCGAGGCCCGCGTGCGGGCTTTAAGGTTTATAAAATCCCATGTTTTAGGTTTAGGTTTCAGGAGTTAAACGCCTGATCTTCTTCGTTGTGGAGTCTATAATAGAGTCCTTCGTTGTGGATTCTGTGTATTTAGAGTGGGTGGATCATTAGTTTGGGTGCGTCACGTTTAGTCCACACTATTTCTGCATCTAGACCTGCATCGGCAAACACACACTACATGTAATTAAATTCCCGCAGTAAATGTGTTCAACTAGGCACGTTAATGTAAGGGCTTCAACCAGGCCAACTTGCGTACTCAACCAGGTGCTGGATGTGGTATGCAGCCCTGAGAGAAAAAATATCGAGCGCAGTGTGGCAGCACACCTGCTAAAGCTCAAACGAGCGTTAGAAATAACGACTTGAAGGACCGTCATTACAAAGACTTATGTAAAAGTGGACGAAAATACTACTTTCAACATTGAAGGACATTTTGGCATCATTACGGACAAGACTCAATGCGATACGTCACACTCGGTACATCGTCAGAAGCGCTTTGTATGGAATAGCTGCAGTTTTGATTCTGGAAGTTCCAGACTGGAACAAATATCATAGGTGCTCACTGCGAACGACCCTCGTGACAGAAGACGACAGGTCGTATAAATGGACAGTGCAAATAGCCATAAAGTGGAGGAGTGTGACGGTATTTTGCCTTCGAAGAATAGTGAAGCTCTTGCTATTCGCTCAATGACACTTTTTGTGTGGCCCTCACTAATTACCCAAGGACACCATTACTGTGGGTGCGTAGCCCACACTGATACTTCATCTCGTATGTCAAAACTGGATGCGCAAATACAGTGGGCCACACTATTTACATTAGTGTTAATATTCCTTGTACTGTATTGCCTAACCTCAGTCATGTGGTGTATCTGAAATTGAGCCAAGTGCTTTGAGTGAGTAAATCTTCTGGATTTAGGTTTTATGGCTATCGGTGCATCATGCAGTGCATGCTCATGTATCTCTTTCAAAGAGTCTGTGCATGAAGCAAAGCCTATGATTTCGGATTACCCAGCATAAGATAATGTATTCACTCGATTTTACCGTGCATTGTTTGGTGGCGTTGCAGTTATTTTGCCAACCTTAGACGCTAAAAATGGCAGCCCGTCCTCGTAAATGATTGTTAAAAACTATTTCCTATTTGTTTAGCTAAATATTTGTCTATATCCACCTGCATACGCTACAACCGATGTGACCACGAGGCTACCGGTACAGCAGTAAGCAGTGCCTTATGTTTGATCCATCTCAATTAGATTGTACAGCTACGGACGCAGTTGAACGAAATGCAGCATCTGTGCCAGAATTGCAGTTTGAAAATTGCAATTCTGGCCGTTTTACTGTAAATCGTCATGGATCACATCGTAAATCCACCACCTGCTACACAATACGTGGTGTATAATTATAGGTGGTGATCACTTCTTATAAGACTACTGTTCACAGCAGCAAACTACTACGACTTCAGACAGTCGGGAGGGCCCTCGCACAAAAAGTACACGATTGGGATAGGCAGAGGAGATAGTCAGTAAGTACCAGTATAATACCGGTTGGAATGGATGTAGACGAACTGCAGACGAACCACAAAAGGTTGTCAAAGACAAAGAGTTCACCAATGCGTAATACCGGCCCTCAACGTGTTGTCATCTTACCCCCACCCCAATCTGTGTAAGCTCAAATTCTATCACAAGTGGCGCGTCAATCAAGAAACGAACGAGGTAACCCACCTTTTTGGGGCTCATCCCGACACCACTGAGCTCTTCAAGCTTCACCATGATGTGTTAGTTGCCGACTGCACCTACAAGACGAACAGGCATCGCATTCCGCTGCTTAATATCATTGCTGTTACCGGAGCTAATACGGTTCTTCCCGTTGCTCAATGTTGGCTTCCTGGTGAGAAGAAAGAAGACTTCGTTTGGGCTTTCAACATGCTACGTCTCTTCATGATTGAGAACGATATAGACCCTCCTAGCGTCATTCTCACTGATCGGGATCTTGCCTGTCTGAATTCACTGGACCGTGTTTTTCCGGGCGTGCCTTCGACGATATGCCGCTGGCACATGAACAAGAACGTGGAAAGCATGACCAGAAAGCACTTAGGCCAAGTAGACGTCGAGAGCCCAGCCCCGGGACAACCAAAAAAGGAGAATTCTTGGGAAACCAATTCCTTCATGGCTACGTTTTACGAAGCAGTGGAGGCAATCTGAGAAGCAGAGTTTGAAGAAAAGCGCAAGGTTCTTGCCTCGAAGAGCAAGGTGGTGTCAGACTACCTGGATCCGCATTGGTGAAAGTACAAGTCGCGAATTGTGAGATACTGCACAAGCAAGTACAAATACTTCGGTGTCCGAGACACATCTACAGTCGAGGGAACGCATGCCAAGATCAAAGCCAAATTGAAATCAAGCCAAGGCGACTTGTACACAGTTTTCAAGAAGCTGTGTAGCTGGTGGACAATTGCTGCTTCCGAAACAAGTTTGCTCATGGCTCAACATGCAGCGATTGCGCCTCAGTTGCTGCAAAAAAAGCAGATATTATCGAGTTGTCAGGATTATCACGAGAAACGCTTTGAGAGACACAGAGATGTTGTGGATGGATGCGGAGAAAATTGTCTCTAGTGGAATTGAGCGTAGGCCTTGTTCCGGGGAGTTTCGTGCTGTCCTTGGTCGGCCGTGTCTCCACGACCTTGTTGCAGTCATAGAGTCGAATTGAAGGAAGTACATCACCCCGGATCATTTCGACAAGCACTGGTGGATTTACCGCGACAATAGGACTATCTCTGCAAGAATTCAAGACCCTGCTACACTGCAACAATGTAGGTCCAAGAAAAGCACGCGCAGAACGCGGCTTGCAAACCAAGGTAGTAGAGGGACGGGGCGCGACCCGACATATAGTGAACGAATCGACAAAAATCACCCGGCTACACCTCCAAGGTCCGCTCTGTATGCCCCCCAGAATACATAAGTTTTTGGAACCCAAGCTGGTGATCAAGTACAGCCTTTCGAATCACCCTTTTTACCAGCGAGGCCGTGGGGGTATGCAGGAAGAGAACCTTACTTAGATCAGAGAGAAAGAGAGGAATAGACGTCGTTTAAACACATTCGTTATTCCGTCAATACGTTGTGGATGACACCAAACAACAAACCGCAGAAAAAACAGGTATTTTTTACATTAAAAAGAAGAATTGTAACGGGAACGCTAATTGTAACGGGAACGCAGTACCAAAGTTGAAGAACTCGACCAATTAAAAACGAGTAAACATAATTTTGTCCAGTCAGGTAGCTTATTATCTTCCATTCATTTAAGCTACTCGTACGTGTCAATTCTAAGCGGAGTGTTCCCTCATCTTGTGGACTCGTAGCGAGCTCTGGTGCTTGAACACATCAGCGCACACCACACATTTGTACTCACCTTCCTCGTACTCACGTTTGCGCTTCTGTTTGTTCGCAGCCCCCTTGGGGTTCTTTTTGCAGTAGAAGCGGTGTTTCCAAATTGCTTGACCCTTCTCCACCTTTTTGCCGCAAAATTTACACTCACCGTGTTCAGGAAGTGCGTCTTGAACGATATCTGGTGTCCATTTCAACCCTGCGTAGGTAAGGTAGCAGTGAATGCGGTAGTTACTTGTGGTGTACGGCATTCCGTTGTGTATGAGGTCACCTCTGACGAGAACAGCGAATCCAACCGGAATGTCCACGACGCGCGCTTTGGAGATGTCTCTTGCAGTAAAGCAACCAGCATAGATGCGGAGCTTCGTGCCGGGCTCCAAAGCGAAACCCATGCTGGCTGGAACACCATCCGAACGAAGGTTACGGGCTCTCACCAAGTCACTCTCTTGGTAGTCTTGGTGGGGCTCCTATTCTGAGCCCCCAGGCACCGACCGCATGAAAGAGAAAACACCAGGCTCCCACCCAGGGTGCAGCATGGCGACAACCACCTTTAGAGCCTTGCTCAACTCCTGTAGAGGCGCTGACAGGGTGCGAGAGCTCACGCGCGATTGCTGTCGGAAGTTGTCGTCTTTACCACCCACGCGATTAAAGACACCATTGTACGGACGCGCTTTGGCTTCCGCTAGGAGCGACGGAACTACCGTATCAGGAAGCACAAGGCCCACAGGCAGATAGGCATGCGGAAGCAATGGCCCTGTTGGTAGTTTCTCCATTTGAGGCTTTGGAGATCTGAGAGTGGTAGATGTAACGGGAACGCGATTTGTAACGGGAACACGATTTGTAACGGGAACGCGATTTGTAACGGGAACGGTTTTTGAAACGGGAACGGTTTTTATAACCGGTATTATACTGGTACTTACTGACTATCTCCTTTGCCTATCCCAATCGTGTACGTTTTGTGCGAGGGCCCTCCCGATGAGGGCCCTCGTTAATTTCTCCCGACAGGACGTTCTTTTAATACCTGAAGTACTATCCGTGGTGGATTTGTATCTGGACAGGCCGCGTTTATGGATTTTGGCATGTTTACTTACTTATTCAATTTTTTAAGAAAATGATGTCATTTACCGTCGCTCCAAATCCTTGCGCACATGGTTGAAAATGGAGACAACTTCGCCAAGTTTAATCCTTTCACGATCGCGAGCGACTGAACACCAATTATCCAAAGTCCGCCATACAAATGCTTTATTTGTATTGGTGGAGAGGTGGGCCATTTAGTTCAAAAACACGCATACGTTGTAAAAACAAACAAATGTATTCTCGTGACCTTATGAATGTCCACTTATTTTTGTGACTTGGAAACCTGCAGAGGCCCACACGTCTGGCGCAGATGCTAAGAACTTATTGATAAGTAATGAAGAGAACTTAGAATCGTATAATAATACAGATCATGTAGAATGCCCCGTGCTTGTTATGATTCCAAGCGTATGAAGCGGTGCCGGAGCGTTAGTGCATCCATGGAATATAGCCAGCTGATCACAATCATCGCGCGAAAATTTGGGACTGCCATTAGAATCGAGCGGCTGTCTTCAATTCGAGTCGAGCAACTTGCACACTGTTTTTGGTTTAGTACATATACGTGTACACAGTGTGTACTACACAATGTACAGTAGTACTATTTAGAAAAGTGCGATGAAAATTAATACATGTAACTGGTAAAGTGTAGAAACTATACGGAGAGTCCCATCATCTTCACTCCCACATGTTGCTGTGTATTCTTCCGGCTCGTCACCGTGATCGTAGCCTCATCTTCTGCCATTAGGCTTTTCACCTCGCGAAGTCTCCTTCTTCACAGCCAGCGATGCGCTCAATCCAACTTCTGATCATCGCGCTGGTTGCGTTCCTCGCCTGTTGTAGTGCAACACCAGCACCGCCACAAGTATCCCTCTCGTTCCTTCCAGTCCAGAGACGGTCACTGCGCACTGACACAACTCTTGACAGTGAAGACAACAACGAAGACTCGGGGGAGAGAAGCGTCTGGAAACATGTCAAAGTGAGGTGGTGGTTAGAGACCGAAAAGTCTGACGACTTTGTCCGGAAGGCGCTCAAACTAAACGGACTTGACGATACAGCTATGAAGGCCCACAAGAACTACAAATATTATGCCTATTTTGCCAAAAAGGCTGAAGACTATCTTTTCAACAAGTGGCTACGGAATCATGTACCCACATTTGAAGCCTGGAAGAGTCTCAACCTGGGCAAAATCACCAAGGCTGACCAGCTGAAGGAGATAGCAAACACTAAGAACTTCATTAGCTACAGTCGCTTCGTGAAGCAGTATGACGACAACGTAGTTTCGACGCTGAACGCCGGGTATAACCCCCCTGTTGTGGCGGTTGCTAGGGGTGCCTCAGAAGCTGAGATAACAGCGCGAACGATGATCATGGCTAGTGCACGTAGGGACGACGATGTCGCCAAAGTGTTGTTGGGCTTGACTAAACCGGGCTATCCGCGGCGAGTGCTAGACGGCAATGCGCTCACGCAGCATGATGAGTACAAGTACTATCAGCTTTTTAAAGAAGCGAAAACATCGTAATAAAACAAGAGGCAAATAAAAGTCCACATCTGGTTGTTTCCTTTTTATTTATTTTAGTGAAAAGTACAGTACTTGTACCGAATGGTCCTGTTTGGACAGAGTCCTCCGTAGTTTGGTATGTAGAACTACAGTAGTAGTATAAAACAATGCTGACCAAATGTATTCTTCATTTTACAGCGTGGCACTAATGCAATCTGCGGTTTTTTCATGCTCGTGGTTGGCCCCCGGATACAAAATCGACTGCCCATTGGCGAACTGCCTCCCAGAAAGAAATGCATCGCTGAGAGTCCTTGGGATGACTTACCAGTATGTGACTCTAACGGTGTCATGTATAGCAGTGCTTAGCATCGCGTCCTGCGAGCTCAACATCGTCCAGAATTCCGAAAGTACAATAAACCGACGTAAAATTCAAAGCCCAGCTGTAGTTGCACGTCCTCGAGTCCTTTCATTTTTTGTCCTGCCCCACTTTTTGATTTGCTCGGCCACACCGTGTGGCCGAGCAAATCAAAAATGTGGCCCACACGTTAGTGTCAAATATGTCTTAGCGACAAAGCATGGGCCACATACCGTTCGTTACTACAAGCTTTAGCTCCAGCCATCGGCATTTAGCCAACCCAAATTATACTCCGCTAATGCTCCATGGACCGAAAAATATGATTATAATATTTATAATCTGCTATTCAAATAGGCAAAGAATTGATATGGTGTCGGACAAAAAAGCAAAAGAACAAGGCTGGCTGGGAGTGATCTGTTGGGGACTGCTATTTCGGTGTGTTGAGTGCATGAAGGGCCTAGAATTTGCAAAACTGAAGACTAATAAAGTTGAAAGCAAAATGGCCAGACAAAAACTACAAAGTACTAGTATAATATACTACACCTTTGCCAGTCCAAACTGGCGGTAGTGTAAACCAAAGTGGAATGTCCCGTACTGGATTTTTTTATTTTTATAGAAAAATTAATACTACTATACCGTACTAGATTTTTTACTTTTAAATAAAAATTAATTCTGAAATTTACTACAGACCAATGTGGATTTAGTGTAATGCAAAATCCGATTACGTCCTGTAGCTCACGGACTCGCTGCGAATAGCAGCTGCGACGAAGAGTGCGCAGTGGCGAGTCATCTTGCTGACTAAGCGCAGATCGATGCAGGGTATGCAGTGGTCTGCTGCTCTTTCGAGCAAGCACATTCGACGCTCCGTCATCTCGCCGTGCGGCAAATTGAACATTTGGTCAGAATTCGGAGCCAAGTAAGCCTTGACGCGGGTCTTCAGGGAGTTGAAGCAGCCTACGTTAAAACAAAAACGTATTAGTGGATATAGCGAGCTCATTTAAATTTTACGTACCTTCGATCGGATTACACATAGGCGAATAAGGGCCGGGCCGCAGTAGCTCCAGGTAATCTCTGCCTTAGACCAAGTCTTCTGTTTGGTTTTGTTCAGGTGCGTTATCTAAGACGATAGCAATCTTCTTACTGACGAAATGGTCCCTGTATATATTGGTTGTCTTCACAGCATCGTAGAGTCCACTAAAGCCGCATTCACCTCCTTTTTAATGCTTCCACGTCGTCTAGATCAGTGAACCGCCCCCACCGCTGTGGAAACTGCACATTGCAATTGTAAATTCGCGCCTTAAGAAGGCGCAAGCGTTACAACCGCACGCTGTCCAATACGAGCTCGCTATTGAGACCGTTTACAATGGCGATTGTAATTGGTCTCGTCATAGTAAACGATGAACGACACTTTCTTTCATGTTCTGCGAGGGCCTCACCATATACACGTCGCTTTTCGATGTTGGTGTCGTTATTGCACGTTTGTGGCTCGATACGAACCTGTCCGAAAACCATTTACTTAGTACTAATATTTGTAAGCTCATATCAATACGAGCCCAGTATACCTGCTTGACTGTATACAGCCTATCGCACAGTTTCTTGCTGATAACTGAGGTGCTTATGCGAGTGCCGAAGTCAAACTATAACATATCCTACATTCGCATCAGCGTATACAAACAATTCTCCTCTAGGTAGTCCACTAGCGCATTCTCCATCTTCTGGATACACTTTGTGCACGACACACGCGCGCCGCCCCTCGTCTTGGTCTCGGCAGACTGGCGGTCGATGATGTCGCGGGCCGAGGTGGGAGGGATGCCATTGTGGTCTGCAACGAGCTTCCAGTTCCTACTTTCTTGTGAGCGTCCAGGACCCGGCGGCAAGACCGTGCTTAGACTCCCATGGCTTGCGCGTGGAGCTAAAAGTCGGGTTGTGGCAGTGGCTCGAAACCACCAGGAAGAGTTACACTAAATCCCCGTTGCTCTACATACTAATTTCTGAATTTAAATTTCAATAATTGAATATTACTTTAGTTACTTCATTCCACTTTGGTTTACACTACCGCCAGTTTGGACTGGCAAAGATGTAGTACTTAGGATTTTCTTTTTTAATACAGGCCATAATCGTATTTTTGTGGAATATTGTACCAGACGACAGCGGCCTGCAGCGACCGTCACGAGGAGCGACACTGGAAGATCAAGCTGCGTCAACTGCAGGACTGCATAATCCGTCACGACAACAGCGGCACTACACAATCTGTCGCGTAGCAGCGGCGTTGCATAACCAAAGAGGAGGACGCTGCCACAGAGCCTGCGGCGAGGGCCTAGAATGGTAGAACTCACATTCAATAGATCTGCATGTATTCACTTCCCAACTCACTGACATAATGTTGAAGCAAACTCTATGTCGCGAATACGTCAATAGGAAAATTGGATTTTGACGCCAGGATTGGTTTTAATGGGCCATCTTTAAATTCAATGGGCCAACTTATAAGATTTTGATGTCGGCTCTGACCTAGGACCTGACGCCTACCGTGCCGATGTCAGGGATCAATCGTCAAGGGCCGACTTATAAGATTTTGATGTCGGCTCTGACCTAGGGCCTGGCACCTACCGTGTCGATGTCAGGGATCAATCGTGAAGCGTTCCATAATGCGTTTTGAAATCAGCGTGTCGTCATGTGCGTTATGGATGTTTTCAGCATGGATATGGGCTTGACTTTCCAATTGCAGCTGCTATTAGTGGTCTATTTATTGAGTATTGATGTAGATCGTGCTGGAGATCATGACCATCTAGATTTTGTTGGCGCCTATACGGCGATCATTTAGCGTTGAACTGAAAGCTGATGGTCCTGCGGCAGCATCTGGTAGATGGTCTTATGGTCACCGAGCCTTCACCCCCTTCTGTGACGTTGAGCGGGTGAAATACCGTGCCCCCGACGTTTAATGGCCCACATTGAACTTTAATTCGAATGAACTCTGTCAGCTCAATAAGCCGTGGGCATATTTTGCTCATGCTGGATTTCGAGACAAATCTTGGAAATACTTGTTAAAGTATTTTGACCACAAGACAAAATGGCCATTGCGGATATTATCATAACATCATCGCGTATGTGTTTCTATCCTCGTGTTACTGCTGTTTGCGCGTGCGGATGACGCTATGTTACGCAGTCATAGGCGAAACGTGGATACACTGTGTGGTACACACGGGGTAAAAAGTACCCGGAGGGCTAACAAAGACTCCCAGTACGTGGGTTGAAAGCCACACAAAATGCGTTTAACTATATTTTACCATTACTTTACTATTATTGCGGCTAAAATACCTAATAGAATTTCCACCGCACTGCGCCAAAGGCCACTTTATCTGTATTTTAGAGAGGATGTGATAACTTTTTTCCCAACCTCACCACTCTATCTTCTTCTCTACCGGTATTTAAATCCCCCCTCCAAAGTGGCGACGACTCTTCAAATTGGGCCATATTTGAAGAGCCATTTTCACTGCGCAAGATTTGAAGGTACGTCGCAGTGCGAGTGACATCACAGTATCTAGAAATATTTACTACTATAATCGGGCTCTGCAAGGCATCATATAAAAAAAAATTAGCGCGCTTACTATGGATATGCTCTAAGGGGTATCGTGCATTTCAATGTTTTCACTTAGCATGTTGCTCAATTTTAATAAAAAGAGATCGTTTATTAAATCGAGGTCTATAAACGTACAAATCGATTTTGCTAAACTGGCTGATAAATCGAGCCACGGCAGCCAAAGCGACCGCTCGGGATCGATCAACCACCAAATCCACATCGATATCCTGTAAATCGACCCTTTTTGTCGTTTTGAATCACAGATAAAACAAATCGGTGCCTGCCTCTTCTCATCTCATTTTAAACGTGGTTTTATGCTCTGACCGTGCTCGAAATAGGCTATTAAACGGATGGACATTCCATCTGCAGGTCACAATAAATGTATCTGTTTAACGAGCTCAGATTTTGAAGCATTCAGGTGCTAGGTGATATAATTGCGTAACGGGGTACAATCCAGTGTACCCCAGGATACATAAGAGCGGCCCGTCACTCTAGTGTACACCTGGTACACGGTACCAGGTGCAGTCAGGACATGACTACATAGCTCCACTATAGGTATCCTCGAGTTTGTTTAGAGCCAAAGCTTAGTTTTCTTATAAATACATCAGTCTTACATCTACTCTTCTAAGTAGCAAACCGTTCCCTTTGAGGTCGGGAACACGTGAACTAACGTTCACTCGGGTAGTAAATAACCTTAAGAACTTCCTCTGTGCAAGGTGCTGTGTGATCCCGTCACACTTGTTAGCACTCGTAAGCAATCCTACGCCTTCGCAGGTAAATTGAACTACCTGAATCCTCTGTGCGCTCTACGTTTGCGCCACGATGGGCCGAAGTGAGTTTCTGCGCTTGAACGACTCACAGTACGAGTCTGTTCGGAAGATGGGAGGCATCGTAGGACAAGATATCCTCCGCAGTTTGGCGGCGGTGTCGCCTGCGGAGAAACACGAACGCGTGGTTGCGTTCGAGACCTACGAGCGTGGTCTCATCGCTCACATCCGCGGGGGTTTGGAGGCCTTGCTAGCCGCTCCCCAGATAACCAGGCCTATGCCGATAAGGCTGGATGTCCCCGCGTTTGAGGGGAAAGAAGGAGAGAACCTTCACGTCTAGGTACGTGAGGTGGCGATCGCCATGAAGGCGGGTCTCGTCTCGGACGAGCCACTTCGGGTGGCTTTTGCACTGTTTAACCCTGGTGGATGTGCCAAACACTGGGTATACACCAGGGAGACGACATCTTCTGGATTATTTGCATCCTCAGATTAGCAGAGTGAACAGCTTGGAGCTGTGTTCCTACCGGCGAACCACGAGCTCCGCCTGCGCTCACGCTTTCTCGCGTGTAAGCAAGATAGATGTGAGCTGCAGGATTCCCTGTCAAGGATGCCACCAACGTGCGCATCGCTTGCACGTACTCCTGCAGCTCACGTCTTTCTTGCTTACAAGCCAGAAAGCGTGAGCGCTGGCGGAGCTCTTTGTTCGCTAGTAGGCTGTCTACTGAAAAACGCTAAGCCTTCGTGATGGATGTGCAGGTTGTACCCCGGGACTAAGCCCAGCGAGCCGTGGTCCTCTCAAACTGGTTAAGGGCAGTGATGGGCCGCTGGTAGCATACTCAATATTCGGGGGTGAGGTATCCCTTAGACGTTTGATGAGTTCTGAGCCGTTAATGCGCCGCCGGAATGTCGCTTGGCATAGTGACACCCGACTGCACTCTACGGCAGAGTGGCCGTCGTGGGCTGGTCTATGGTGGACTAGCATTTGGTACAGCGAAGGAAGTACCAATGTTCCTCGACAAACTTGAACGTTTGGGCTCGATGAACGTGGGCACCGCGGTGTCGCTCGCAGCTCTCGCCATAAACAACATGGCTGTGCCAAACATAAGGTACAGGTTGAACTTTGGTGTACTCTTTGCTGCTATTATTTTCGAGACAAATGTTATCTTTGAATGAAACTCAATCGTAGACTCTGCATTCCTAGTACCAGTAGTAGCAAAACCTCGGCGCTTCTTCAGACACAGTACGACTGGTATTAGCAAATATTTCATTCTCTTTCATGAAGATTTGGTAGTACGCGTAGCCTGGCTGCCTCTCAAGCGCAACAGCAGATAGAGCTTGCATCAGGAAGCCAGGTACAGTCATAGCAAACAACACTTTGGCAGCATCGTTGTCCCACCCTTCCTCGGTCATTATCAGTGCTCTCGCCGTATTCTCTGGGTATGTCTTCTCTCCCAGGCCCGTCTCAGGGGATGGACTGTAGCCAGCCATTAGCTTCGTAGCGAAATGTTCATCCAGCTCTTTCACATACCGACTGTAGACGCGGAAGCTCTCAGTGCTTTTTCCTGTTTTGAGCTGTTCCGTATTGGTGATTTTATCTAGCCGAGCTCCTTCCAGGCTACAAATGCGACCATTTCTCTCCGAAGCCAGTTGTTGAGCATATATTCTTCCGTCTACTCGTAAAAAGAGAGCATAATATTTGTGGTTGGGATGGGCTTGTTGAGTCGCTTCGTTGAGTCCATCCAACTTGAGAGCCTTCTAGACGTAGTCGTCGGATTTCTCACGATCTAGCCACCAGTATACCTTGGGATACTGCAAAAATTCCCTCTCCTCTGCGTTTTCGTGCCTGTCTTTGATGCTGGCCACCCGCAGCGATTTTTTTTGAACGAGAGGCGAGAGAGATAAAATCCACGGCCTCCCGAAAGAGCATTGCACTAGTAAGGAGGACGAAGCGTAGGATGGTTAGATCTTGTACGGAACACATTGCTGGTTGTGTAGAAGACTTCTAGAAGTTGGCTTTGTGTGCCTAATTGGAAACAGCCAGGAAAGTTATGAGTGGAAATCACGAAGGCTGTACACTGTATGTAACAAAAACAGAAAAAAATCTACTTTGCAAGTCCAAACAATAGCTCAAATTGTAAACGGTGTACGTGAACATGGTCAGATTAGAGAAGATACAGAGGAGGCCACATGTGCCTTTCAGATATGAATTGCTTGTCACCCAATCAGCTGTATTGCAAAGGACCATACTATGCGAAAAACAAGTGCCAGGAGTAAGAAAATGAACATGCATTTTAGAAAGGATAGTTGTTTAATGGCTGCTTCTAATGTCCGGTAGCAAATATATTTCTGACAGTTGAAGTAGGGCTACGCGTAGGCTGGGTAGCTAGATTCATCTACTGGGGCTTTGCGATGGCTGGGATAGCTTAACCTCCCAAGCTTCTCCATCGTCTTACACGCGTGACTCCAACGCGAGCCACTTTTTACACTGCTGCATGCCGCTGCATCTGAATAAACAGCATGGCAGTGAACGTCACTGACGTTTCAAAGCGATAGTCCAGCAATGTAGAAAATGACATTTTGAGAAAGCGGGCCTGCTGGCAGCGTCCCAGACCCGGTAAGAAACAAATTTGGAAACACACTTGAGAAAATCTTCGCGTTGTCCACCCATTCAACAGACGGGCGTCGTGTCTGCTTAATTGGAAACACCCTCGCCACTTGATGTTCATCTCACACACCGCCGCCAACGACCTCAACCATCGCATCAATTATCCCATGCACTGGAGAAAAATCGCTTTGTTCTACTTGTGATAGAGCAACTTACAATGCAGTTGCTGTTAGAAGCTCAGTTGCTCTTTCACAAGTTGAACAAAGCGATTTTTCTCGAGTTACAATTTGTAACTGGTAGTCCCGCGCGGAGACATTTCTTCGTCTTTTCCTCCGAATTCAGACGCAGCCTCTTCATCGAGCCCATTGACCTCCACCGAATCGACGACTCGAATATCCTTTTTGGCGGCCAACTCAATCTTTCGAAGAAATGCGCGGCACCGCGGACTATCTTCCACCTCAATGCCTTCAGTTCTAAAACGCTAATTTGCCGAGCCACGCATACACATCATCCGCGAAAATGAAGAATAGTTTTGAAAACTTATTCCTTTGTATTCTCTACGTTTCCGTCGGACCAATCAATGTGACGCGAGGAACAAAAGCACTATCTTGGTAAGGAGCCAGTCGGGCCGCAAATCCGCCAACGACGAAAACAAAATACCTTATCCGACTCACTTGCAAGCTAATTGCGCCCACAAGATGCACATGCCTAAATAACCGTCGATTCAGAAGCTCTTTCGATCTCGGAACTTTGGCAAGCCGCAATATCCACTTCTATTGGGTAGTCATCGAGTAGCTTGGCGACAAGCTCGCGCGTCGCGAACCCTCTCTCGCCGCGAAGCACCTCGTCGCCGTAAGCGAATGATCCCGGGTTGGTACTGCAGCAGTAATAGTATGCAAGAGCCAACCGCGGATCTTGCAAGAAATGCTAATTTGGTGACATCCATCAGATCTCATCCTCAGTCACATTTTTAGCTGAAAGCATTCGAGAGCTCAACTCGTCACGAATTCCTTTATTTTGCTCGAGCGAACGTGGATACAATACGCGCGACGACTTGTCCTTTCGGTATGCAGACGCACATTACTTTCTGTCTTCGTTTTACTGGCGCGCTGATGCCGGCGTCGCGCATTCCTCTCAACACAAGAATTAAACGGCTCGGCGACCGGGTGATGATTCACCGAATCGAGTCGCGCTTTCTCGTTCTGTCGAGCTCTTCGCTGTCTTGCATTTCGTCTGACGCGGACATTACTGGAAGAATGGACGCGTGGCCGCTGCAGCCGATCAAGCTCCCGATGGCGAGCAAGCCTTTCACGCTGGAGCGTACTCCGTCTAACTCGATCGTCAGCGCGACGGTCAAGGGCTTCTCGGTCATACACTCCACCGCTTTCACTGGCGTCATTACCCTGGCTGACATCTTAAAACGCAAGCCACACTCTCCATCCAAAATCGATCTGCTCACAGCCAGCCGAGCGCACGGACAATCCCATCCATCGCTACAAAAGAAGTGGTCACTCGCCGAGAAATGCGTCCATCATAAACTGGCCTCCTTGGTGGTCGCCCAGTCAGCCCGGTCAATCTGGGGCAAGCACGCTGCTGCGGCGTTTGGAAACGCAATGGATAGAGCGAGTCTCCAAAATGTTCCGGTTCATGTCCGTATTTGGTATTACCAGCTTCCATTTACTTGATTTAGTATCACTGACCGCCTAATTAACCTGGTTGGGCTGAACGCCTTTCAGACTAACTGTCATCCCAGTAAAACTGTAGCTTATTTCTCAAATGAGTGGTCCAAAAATGAAAAAATCTTAAGCTCTCTTGAATTATAAAAAACGCCTTGTTAAAAGTCGATACAATAGCTTTGAATTTTACGTCGGTTTATTGTACTGTCGGAATTCTCCAAGATGTTGAGCTCGCAGGACGCGATGCTGAACACTTCTGTACACGACACCGTTATAGTCAAATACTGGTGAGTCATCCCAAGGACTCTCAACGATGCATTCCTTTCTGGGCGGCTGTTCGCCAATGGAGTGATAAAAACTTAACGTCATTCTAGGTTTGAGAGGCTCGCTTCACGTACTTCGCACTCGTTTAACTCTGGGCAGTCGATTTCATCCGGGGGCCAACCACGAGCATGAAAAGACCGCAGATTGCCACGCTGTAAAATGAAGAATACATTTGGTCAGCATTGTTTTAAACTACTACTGTAGTTCTACATACCAAACTACTGTCCATTCGGTACAAGTACTGTACTTTTCACTGGAGTAAATAAAAAGGAAGTGGACTGTTTTTTATTTGCCTCTTGTTTTTTTACGATGTTTTCGCTTCTTTAAAGAGCTGATAGTACTTGTACTCATCATGCTGCGTGAGCGCATTGCCGTCTAGCACTCGCCGCGGATAGCCCGGTTTAGTCAAGCCCAACAACACTTTGGCGACATCGTCGTCCCTACGTGCACTAGCCATGATCATCGTTCGCGCCGTTATCTCCGCTTCTGAGGCACCCCTAGCAACCGCCACAACAGGGGGGTTATACCCGGCTTTCAGCGTCGAAACTACGTTGTCGTCATACTGCTTCACGAAGCGACTGTAGCTAATGAAGTTCTTAGTGTTTGCTATCTCCTTCAGCTGGTCAGCCTTGGTGATTTTGCCCAGGTTAAGATTCTTCCAGGCTTCAAATGTGGGTACATGATTCCGTAGCCACTTGTTGAAAAGATAGTCTTCAGCCTTTTTGGCAAGGAACGAGAGTGTGGCGGTGCTGGTGTGGCACTACTACTGGCGAGGAAAGGGACCAGAGCGATAATCAGAAGTTGGATTGAGCGCATCGCTGGCTGTGAAGAAGGAGACTTTGCGTGGTGAAAAGCCTAATGTCAGAAGATGAGTCTACGATCACGGTGACGGCCGAAAGAATACACAGCAACATGTGGGAGTGGAGATGATGGGACTCTCCGTATAGTCTCAACACTTTACCTGTACATATATTAATTTTCATCGCACTTTTCTAAATAGACTAGTATATTATACTAGTACTCCGTATTTTTTCGACAGCGTCCTGCAGCGATCGTCACGTGAAGCGACACTGGTGATCAAACTGCGTCAACTGCAGGACTGCATAATCAGCCGCATCAACTGCAGGACTGCAAAATCAGCCGCGTCAACAGCGGCACTACATAATCTGCCGTGTAGTCACGGCATTGCATAACCAAAGAGGAGGACGCTGCCACAGAGCCTGTGGTGAAGGCCTAGAATGGTAAAACTCACACTCAATAGATCTGCATATATTCACTTCGCAACTCACTTACATAATGTTGAAGCAAACTCTGCGTCGCGAATAAGTCAATAGGACAATTGGATTTTGGCGCCATGATTGGTTTTAATGGACCATCTTCAAATTCAATGGGCCGACTTATAAGATTTTGATGTCGGCTCTGACCTAGGACCTGACGCCTACCGTGCCGATGTCAGGAATCAATCGTCAAGGGCCGACTTATAAGATTTTGATGTCGGCTCTGACCTAGGGCCTGGCACCTACCGTGTCGATGTCAGGGATCAATCGTCAAGCGTTCGATAATGCATTTTGAAATATGCGTGTCGTCATGTGCGTTATGGATGTTTTCAGCATGGATATGGGCTTGACTTCACAGTCGTTGCTGCTGTAATTGGTCTATTTATTGGGTATCGATGTAGATCGTGCTGAAGATCATGACTGTTGGCGCCTATACGGCGATCAGTTTGTGCGTGGCTACACGCACCCAGCGTTGAACTGAAAGCTGATGGTTCTGCGGCAGCTTCTGGTAGCTGTTCTTATGGCCACCGAGCCTTCACCCCTCTCTGCGACGTTGAGCGGGTGAAATACCGTGCCCCCGAGGTTTAATGGCCCACATTGAACCATAATTCGAATAAACTCTAGCAGCTCAATAAGCCGTTATCCTATTTTGCTCATGCTGGATATCGAGACAAATCTTAAAAATATGTGTACTTGTTAAAGTATTTTGACCACAAGACAAAATGGCCATTGCGAATGCTACGTAGTATTATAATAACCTCGGTGTTTCTATCCTTGTATTGATGCTGTTTATGACGCTATGTTACGCAGTCATACGCGTAACGTGGTAGCACTGTGTGGTACACCCGCGGTATCTAGAAAAAATTACGGTGTAGGATAATGCGTCCTAAGACACGTCCTTAACTGTCCTATCTGTCCTAAATTTTACAGGGAGATTGTGGAGATGTGTCCTAAAAAGCGACTAATCCTTCGTTACGGAATATTATAATTTGTGTCCTCCAGATTGTCCTAAACCTCAAATATTTACTTTTTCCGGACTATCTACGTAAATTTACGTAAGAGTTACATGTACTTAAAACTCACATTGGCTTTACTTATTGTCCTGGGGCACACCAACCATTTCTGAATCTCCACTACTGCAGCCAAGCATCATGGACCATTGCGGCTACTCCTTCTGCAGCTAGGGCGCTCGCCTATCTGGCCTCTGCTGCCACCTGCGGAAGCAGTGTCTTGTCCGCTCTGCTCACGAGCGCGAACATTCAACAGTGCGGCACGGACCACTGAGATCCCGGACCAGGCCCATTGACAAGATGTGCGCCTCGACTGCCTGCAACACCCTGCTCGCTGACGTGAAGGCCATAAACCTGGAGGAGTGCCAACTGCCGGTCGGTTTCGGTTCCAACCTGAAGGCCGACCTGGTAGTCTACGTGCCGTCCAACTGCCCATCGTCGTCGGCTCCCAGCCCGGACTCGCCTGCCACAAACGCACCTGTTGTCGACACCCCGACGACGTCAGACAACTCGATGAACCAGGCCGAGCACACTGCCGCGCTAACCAAGACCCCCATCGCTTGCTAACCGCGTCTTCGGATCGACTTGCAGCCAAGTAGCCCTTGCGAGTACTTTGCTGCTTTTTGAGCCCCCCCTATATCGTTACGTTCTGATTATTAACCGTCGTTTGCTATGTGCATGTTGAAGTCGCTCAACCGTTATTAGCGGCTATTATTACCTTCAATGACTATCATCCTTTGAAACACTTTAAAAATATTGTCACACACTTTGTAGTAGAGAAGTTTTGTTGAGGTGCTTTTCGCGCACAACAAAGAATCGGCTGCTCTTGGAGAGAGGGGCTTTAAGATGTTTATTGTTTCTAGCTAGGCCAGTTAAGGATATGGCTTGAGGACAGTGCATGTTGGGCTTGGTGTTGTCCTAATAGGACAGTGGTCTGAGTTGCAGTCTGTCCTAATAGGACAGACTGAGTGTCCAGTTGTCGAGTGTCCTATTAGGACACGCGGACCCTGGCTTGTTTCGTCCTAAAACTCATTGTGTTGTCCTAAATATGGGTTTTGTTTATGAACCGAATTGCTAGTTTTTTATCCCAGGTTTTAGGACAATAGGACACTTTAGGACTCCTAGTAGGACGCATTCTCTCCTACCAAAATTACCAATATACATCGGGCTTTGCACAGTACGCGCTTACTACAGTATGGATATGCTCTAAGAGGTATCGTGCATTTCAATGCTTTTGTCGTTCTCACTTGGCATGATGCATGATTTTTAATAAATAGAGGTCGTTTTATTAAATCGAGGTCTATAAAAAGTACATATCGATCTAGCTAAACTGGCTGTAAAATCGAGCCACGGCAGCCAAATCGGGATCGATCAACCACCAAATCCACATCGATATCCTGCAAATCAACCCTTTTTATCGTTTTGAAATGGTAAATCGTAAAACAAATCATGCCTGCCTCTTCCCATCTCATTTTTAGCCGTGGTTTTATGCTCCGACCAGCTATAAAACGGATGGACGTTCCATCTGCGAAGCACAATGTATGTATCTGTCTAACGAGCTCAAATTTTGAAGCATAAAGTTGTTAGGTGATAATAACAACTTTGAGCCCTGGTAATTCGACAAAGTGTGTAACGGGGTACAACCCAGTGTACCTCCAGGATACATAAAGCGTGACCCATCGCTCTTGTGGACACCTGGTACACGGTACCAGGTGCAGTCAGGGACTGACTACATCGCTCCACTATAGGTATCCTCTAGTGTTTTTAGACCCAAGCGTACAGTAGCTTACTAATATAAACATCAGTCTTACAATCAACTATTCGAAGTAGCAAACCATTTTCTCTGAGGCCGGGAACACGTGAGCTAACGTTCACTCGGTAGTAAATACGCTGAAGCACTCCCTCTGTGTAAGGTGCTGTGTGACTATGAAACACTTAGTAGCACTCGTAAGCAATCCTTCGCCTTCGCGGGTAGATTGAACTATCTGAACCCACTGTGCGCTCTACGTTTGAGCCACGATGGACCGAAGTGAGTTTCCTCGCTTGAACGACTCGCACTACGAGTGTGTTCGGAATGGGACGCAACGTTGGACAAAATGTCCTCCACAGCCTGGCGGCGGCGTCGCC